GTTATTGGTCTTCAGCCCCGTTATTGTGAGTTTTCGTCACTGCATTGATGGTTTGTTTGAACAGTGAACACATGGAGTCTGCCAGTGTCTGGGTGATTAGTCCAAGCAGAACCATCAGTGTTGGGAGTCACCGTGTGCATCCAGTGTTGCATGTCTGCGAGGCTTGCGTGGCAAAGTGTAATAGTTGGTATATGTTGTTCTTAAGACACTGGTACACTATGTTGCACCTCCTCATTATGGGTTGATGGGGAAGGGAGGGGATGTGGAAAATGGGTGGGGGGGCAAGAAGAATGGATGGCTTTTAGTCTAAGACAGGAGGAGTATCAGGTCTTGGTGTTGTACGGCTTGAAGGTCAAGGGATGAGGGGAGAAGGTGGAACCCACTCCTAATGAGAGCTGGGGGAGAGGGGGAGGGGGAGGTTAACCCCACCTATAATTCAAGTTGTGGGTAGGGTGCTTCAACCCACCTATAATGGTATCTGAAAGAAGGTAGGGAGAGTTGAACCCACCTATAATGGTATCTGCAAGAAGGTAGGGGGAGTTGAACCCACCTATAATGGTATCTGCAAGAAGGTAGGGGGAGTTGAGCCCACCTATAATGGTATCTGCAAGAAGGTAGGGGAGTTGAACCCACCTATAATGGTATCTGCAAGAAGGTAGGGGGAGTTGAGCCCACCTATAATGGTATCTGCAAGAAGGTAGGGGAGTTGAACCCACCTATAATGGTACCCGCAAGAGAGAAGTGGAGTTAAACCTACCTATAACTCTACCTATGAAAGTAGAACCCCTCCCAGTTTACCCCGGGATCACAACCATCATAAGCTCAAGATAACAGATCACATCCCAAGATAACCATCATTATCATGCGTTTATATACGCAGTTAAACCAAAAAAAAATTAACAGACGACAGGCATTGCCACACATCATTAACACATACACGACGAGCCCATCCCATGCATATATGTATACGCTCGTCCCAATCCAAAATTTGCATTAATTACAAATAATGACATTTGCATTCGCTTGTGCCATTAATACGCTCTAAACGGCCAGGGGGAGAAAAAAGGTACAATTGTGTTTATTGAACATTTACATAAATGTTGGAATATTTTACTCTTGGCTATGATGCTGTCCCCTAGCAGTAAAATAGGTACCTGGGTGTTAGTCAGCTGTCACGGGCTGCTTCCTGGGGGTGGAGGCCTAGTCGAGGACCGGGCCGCGGGGACACTAAAAAGCCCCCGAAATCATCTCAAGATAGATACTGCTTCATGTGGATTATACCTTCAAGGTATAACTATATACCCTGAATATTAGGTTATATCTACAATGGATAATATCCTAAATATTGGAGTATACCCTAAGGTATAATAATAGTATGTTGGTATATACCTCAAGGGTGTAATTATACACGGAATATTTTCCACATCATTTCATGGACTAAAGTACGAAGTCATCGTACAGTGCACCAAGTTATCATACAGTGCACCAAGTCATCGTACAGTGCACCAAGTTATCATACAGTGCATCAAGTCATCGTACAATGCACCAAGTTATCATACAGTGCACCAAGTCATCGTACAATGCACCAAGTTATCATACAGTGCATCAAGTCATCGTACAATGCACCAAGTTATCATACAGTGCACCAAGTCATCGTACAATGCACCAACCTGGTTGATACCTGGTTGATGGGGTTCTGGGAGTTGTTCTACTCCCCAAGCCCGGCCCGAGGCCAGGCTCGACTTGTGAGAGTTTGGTCCACCAGGCTGTTGCTTGGAGCGGCCCGCAGGGCCACGTACCCACCACAGCCCGGCTGATCCGGAACTTCTCTTAGAAAACCGTCCAGTTTTCTCTTGAAGATGTCCACGGTTGTTCCGGCAATATTTCTTATGCTCGCTGCGAGGACGTTGAACAACCGCGGACCCCTGATGTTTATACAGTGCTCTCTGATTGTGCCTATGGCACCTCTGCTCTTCACTGGTTCAATCTTGCATTTTCTTCCATATCGTTCACTCCAGTACGTTGTTATTTTACTGTGTAGATTTGGGACCTGACCCTCCAGTATTTTCCATGCGTATATTATTTGGTATCTCTCTCGTCTCCTTTCTAGAGGGAGAGCTTTCATTTGGAGAGCTTTGAGACGATCCCAATAATTTAGGTGTTTTATCTCGTCTATGCGTGCCGTATATGTTCTCTGTATTCCCTCTATTTCAGCAATCTCTCCTGCTCTGAAGGGGAAAGTGAGTACTGAGCAGTACTCGAGACGGGACAGCACAAGTGACTTGAAGAGTACAACCATTGTGATGGGATCCCTGGATTTGAAAGTTCTCGTAATCCATCCGATCATTTTTCTGGCTGACGCGATATTTGCTTGGTTATGCTCCCTAAACGTTAGGTCGTCGGACATCATTATTCCCAAATCCTTGACATGCTGTTTTTCTACTATGGGAAGATTCGATTGTGTTTTGTACCCTGTATTATGTTTCAGATCCTCATTTTTGCCGTACCTGAGTACCTGAAATTTATCACTGTTAAACATCATGTTATTTTCTGCTGCCCAATCAAAACTTTGTTGACATCTGCTTGTAGTTTTTCAATGTCTTCAGCAGAGGTAATTTTCATGCTGATTTTTGTGTCATCTGCAAAGGACGACACGAAGCTGTGGCGTGTATTTTTGTCTATATCAGATATGAGAATAAGGAACAGTAGCGGTGCAAGGACTGTACCTTGAGGTACAGAGCTTTTAACATCGCTTGGACTCGATTTTATCTGATTGACTGTTACTCTTTGTGTTCTGTTCGACAGGAAATTGAGTATCCAGCGTCCTACTTTTCCAGTTATTCCCATTGACCTCATTTTGTGAGCTATCACCCCATGGTCACATTTGTCGAACGCCTTTGCAAAGTCTGTGTATACAACATCTGCATTTTGCTTTTCTTCTAGGGCTTCTGTGATTTTGTCATAGTGGTTGAGTAACTGTGACAGACAGGATCTTCCCGCTCTAAATCCATGTTGTCCTGGATTGTGCAATTCATTGTTTTCCATAAAACTAGAAATTTGATTCCTAATCACTCTTTCAAACACTTTTATTATGTGTGATGTTAGTGCAACTGGCCTATAATTTTTTGCCAAGGCTTTACTCCCCCCCTTGTGCAACGGAGCTATATCTGCAGATTTAAGTGCTGCTGGTATCTCCCCTGTATCCAGGCTCTTTCTCCATATTACGCTGAGTGCTCTCGCTACTGGTACTTTACATTTCTTTATGAATATTGAATTCCATGAGTCAGGCCCAGGAGCTGAGTGCATAGGCATATTATCAATTTCTCTTTCAAAGTCTTCCGAGTTTGTGGTAATATCCGTTATATTATCTGCAGCTTGAATGTCATTCATAAAGAAGCTGTCTGGGTCATCAACTTTCATGTTGTTTATTGGTGTGCTAAACATAGCCTCATACTGGCTTCTTAGAATTTCACTAATCTCTTTGTTGTCCTCTGTGTACGTACCTTCATTTGTAATTAACGGTCCAATACTGGTCGAGGTTTTGGATTTTGATTTTGCGTATGTGAAAAAATATTTCGGATTTTTCCTTATCTCTTGTATAGCTTTCTGTTCCAATTCCATTTCCTCAGACTCATATGATCGCTTCAACGTTTGTTCTACTTCCTCAATCTCCCTGCTTAGGCTTGTTTTCCTTGCTTGTGATAGTTGTGTCTGCCGAAGCATTTCCGTTATTTTTTTCCTTCTCCTGTACAGTCGTCTCCGTTCTCTTTCTAGAGTGGTCATCTTTCTGCCCCCTCCTCACAGGCACGTGCTTCAAGCAGACCTTGTAAGCTTCAGCTGTCAGTTGAGCTATTCCCTCTGTGGGAGTTTTGTCGCTTAAGACCGTCTCCCATTGAATGGTTGCAAGGTCTACATTTATTTTTTCCCAGTCAATCCTCTTATTGTTGAAATTGAATTGATTGAATATGCCTTCTCGCTTGTTTGGTCTCTTAGACCTACTACCGTTATTTATGCTAGTTCGCACTTCAATGAGCTTATGGTCTGAGTATGAAGTATCTGAGATTGTGATATCCCTGATTAGTTCATCATTGTTTGTGAATAACAAGTCTAGTGTGTTTTCGTTCCTAGTTGGTTCTGTAATCTGTTGATTGAGCGAGAATTTGTCACAGAATCTCAAAAGTTCTCTAACCTGGGGTTGGTTATTTCCCGGGTCATTCCCTGCTATGATATTTGTGTTTGCCGTTCTCCATCTTAGACTCGGTAAATTGAAATCTCCAAGAAAGATAATATCTGGAGCTGGGTTTGCTAGGTTGTCAAGTATGTTCTCTATTTTGTGCATCTGCTCTGTGAATTCCTCTGTATGAATTCTGTATGATAACCAAGTTATCATACAGTGCATCAAGTCATCGTACAGTGCACCAAGTCATCATACAGTGCACCAAGTGATCATACAGTGCACCAAATCATCATACAGTGCACCAAATCATCACACAGTGGACCAAATCATCATACAATAAGCTACATATTGGGTCAGGGCGTGGAAGAAGTGGGTGGTGGATCAGGGCTTGGAGGAAGAGATGGGTGGTGGATCAGGGCTTGGAGGAAGAGGTGGGTGGTGGATCAGGGCTTGGAGGAAGAGATGGTAGTGGATCAGGGCTTGGAGGAAGAGGGTGGTGGTGGAACAGGGCTTGGAGGAAGAGATGGTAGTGGATCAGGGCTTGGAGGAAGAGGTGGTGGTGGAACAGGGCTTGGAGGAAGAGGTGGTGGTGGATCAGGGTTTGGAGGAAGAGGTGGTGGTGGATCAGGGCTTGGAGGAAGAGGTGGTGGTGGATCAGGGCTTGGAGGAAGAGATGGTAGTGGATCAGGGCTTGGAGGAAGAGGTGGTGGTGGATCAGGGCTTGGAGGAAGAGGTGGTGGTGGATCAGGGCTTGGAGGAAGAGGTGGTGGTGGATCAGGGCTTGGAGGAAGAGGTGGTGGTGGATCAGGGCTTGGAGGAAGAGATGGTGGTGGATCAGGGCTTGGAGGAAGAGATGGTAGTGGATCAGGGCTTGGAGGAAGAGATGGTAGTGGATCAGGGCTTGGAGGAAGAGATGGTAGTGGATCAGGGCTTGGAGGAAGAGGTGGTGGAGGATCAGGGCTTGGAGAACCACCTACCTGTTCCCCCCTCAGCCCCACCTGCCGCTGGCAGCCCCCACCTGCCGCTGGCAGCCCCCACTACTTACCTGAAACAGAAGAAAATGATGTTAGCCTAGCGCAAAATTACCCTAATTATGCTACCCATGAAAATATATATGTATAAATATCCTTAAGCTAATAAATATCACGGGATTATATCTGCACAAGAAGAAAATTGTGTTCTAAAAGTATGAAATTCAAGTCTTAATTACTTTCATTACGTTTACAAAAATAAATATAATGATGACAAGGATACGATTACCTGGAGGCCGGTCAGTCAACCTGTCCTAAATTAAGACACTATCGCACACGGGTAAATTACATATGTACGATAACATTTCATGTATGCATAGGCCCTACATATACACATAATACATTATAAAATCGAGAGTGTGAGTGTATAACCCCCGCAAGTGTATATATAGTGAGTGTATAATCCCCACAAGCACCTAGTTGTGCTTGCGGGGGTTGAGCTCTGCTCTTTCGGCCCGCCTCTCAACTGTCAATCAAGTGTTACTACTATTTTTTTTCACACCACACACCCCTAGGAAGCAGCCCGTGACAGCTGACTAACTCCCAGGTACCTATTTACTGCTAGGTAACAGAGGCATTAGGGGTGAAAGAAACTCTGCCCATCTGTTTCCGCAAGCGCCGGGATTCGAACCCCGGACCACAGGACTAAGTATTCAGCATGCTGTCCATTCAGCCACCAGCGCCCCCATTAAATATGTTGTCACGTGAATCCCCTGCATAGCAGTGGAACTGCCTTTTCCCCTCACCTTCAATGCCTCTGAACAAATCCACAAGGGCCGTGACGAGGATTCGAACCTGCGTCCGAGAGCATCCCAGACGCTGCCGTAATCTTCAATGCCTCTGTACTGGAAGTCTAAATCTACACCAACCCAGATGAGTCGTCAGTCCTGCCACCTCTCCGTACCCCCCAGGGCCTGACACGGCCTGCTACGACTCAGAGGCAAGCCTCTGCTGACCGGTAGTTTGCCTTCACAAACAAGCAGTTAGCCGCCTTCAAGAGGCAGTGGTGCAGCTCAACACAAAGGCACCGCCAGCCACAAACAAGCAGTTCGCTAGATGACCAGATTTCCACCTTGCGTTGACACCAGACGAGTCATCACCGCCTCCCTGGAGAGGCAGGCAGTCAGTCTCTCTCTGTCTCTCTCTCTCTCTCTCTGTCTCTCTCTCTCTCTCTCTCTCTCAGTGCTCAAGGACCACCTTGGTCTCTCTCACCCGTCGTCTGCCTTCAGCCCACACCGTGTGACTGACGCCGTGGTGGTATGGTAGCTGTCTTCAGCACACCAGTATATCTTTTTGCTTTGCATTCATTGCTCAGTTTATTTTTGTATTAATGACATATTACCTTGTTCACCTTTGCATTACATGATAGCCAAGTATTTTCAGGTGACATTTCTGTTCATTAATATTTCAGTAAATTGTTTTAATTATTTTTTAATTTTCATTTGTTTCAACCTGCGTCTTACAAACTGTAAGGCCAATAGCAGCATTTTTTTTAGTATTTAGGTGAGGGAGAGCCACGCCATCTTGGCTCAGTATAGCTGCGATACCACAACCCGTCACAATGACACTCGCCTGGCGTTCCGCGAGCGCTATGTCATGGGTTCGTATCCTGGCCGGGGAGGATTTACTGGGCGCAATTCCTTAACTGTAGCCTCTGTTTAACGCAACTGTAAAATGTGTACTTGGATGAAAAAACGATTCTTCGCGGCAGGGGATCGTATTCCAGGGACCTGCCCGAAACGCTACGCGTACTAGTGGCTGTACAAGAATGTAACAACTCTTGTATATATCTAAAAAAAAAAAAAAAAAAAAATGTGCGCGCGTGCGTGTGTTAGTTACTGAACATGTTGGGCAGGGCCTGGTAAAAATTATGACAAGAATCTTGTCCAGATTCCTCATGTTCACTACTTGGGAACATAAATTAAAACATTCGCTTCAGTTATTCTAGAACAACAATGAGGGCCGACATATTTGGCTGAAGTCCAGGGTCCACTGGGCGCTAATCCTTATCTATTCACACCTGTCCACCACGCAGAAATTATGGGACCTGGTTGTTAATCAATTGTCGAGTCGTGTTCCAGAGAAAACTAACAAGGCAAGTTTTGATAGTTACAGGAAGCACAAGCTCTAAGCCTGCTAACAGGAGTCAGAAGCTGTCTACTCCTGTACTCGTGTAAAGAAAAAAAGTGGTTATCGTGTGGAGAGTACAAGAGTACAAGGCAGTAGAGTACTCCACTCTCACTGCTCGACTGGGGCGGTGTGTTGACCTTAAACTGGCAGTTATCTCTTAATAATGTTGAATGCTGTAACAACAACCAAATTTGAGTTAGTTGTTCCAGCCCAGCCTCCCAAGTTTTCTCATCGTTAAGAAACTGTCCTACTAAAGTGCCCTCCTAAGGTTGTTATAAATCAATGAGCTTGTTTCAGGTATAGTGCTTCTACTATCTCCTGTTTCCTATAGTTACTAAATCTTTCAGTTATTTTAGTGTTTCTGGTCAGGATCTCTTTGGTGGTCGTCGAGATGTGAGTAGAAATATGAATGTCAATAGAGCCTTGTGGTTTGTGCACTGTAGAAAGGCATGCCGTCTTGCCTGTATATTGAGAGCGTTGTGGCCAACACCCCCCAAGCACACGCGTCAAAGCATCAATAACATTCTTCTGTTTCAGGACATTGCATTTAGTTAGCGGGAATTCATCATAACTCGACAGTCTTCTTATTTTTGTAATAAATTGTCAGCTCTCTCTCTCTCTCTGTTCAGTATTGGTAGGGGTCACTATCTCACAAATTATGTCCATTAGGACACTCTTTTCCGTCTTGTGAGCCATAGAGAATCAGCTTCCGTAATACTTTTATAGGTGGTACAGGTTTCCTCTAGTCGGGGGAGCCGGTCGGCCGAGCGGACAGCACGCTGGACTTGTGATCCTGTTGTCCTGGGTTCGATCCCAGCTGCCGGCGAGAAACAATGGGCAGAGTTTCTTTCACCCTATGACCCTCTTACCTAGCAGTAAAACAGGTACCTGAGTGTTAGTCAGCTGTCACGGGCGGCTTCCTGGGGGTGGAGGCCTGGTCGAGGACCGGGCCGCGGGGACACTAAAAACCCCCGAAATCATCTCAAGATAACCTCAAGATCAGTACAGCAACCAGGAGGCCTGGTCGACGACCGGGCCGCGGGGACACTAAAGCCCCGAAATCATCTACAGATAACCTCAAGATAGTTACATTGGTAATCAGTGGTAGCACAGTGGTTCACCTTCCTTATGATGGCCTCTTTTAGGTATCCCTTAACGTATCTGTTGTTGACGAGGCGCTGTCTACCGAGCTCCTCGTCCACTTGCTTCCAACTGGCGGTGTGTTTGAGATCGCAACTTACGTACCCATTTACGTCACTTGGGTAACCTCTCCAGGTTTGTTGTTGTTAAAGATTCGCCACCTGGAACAAATAGTTCCAAGTAGCACGGGCTATGGTGAGCCCGTAGTGGAGTATCCAGGTACTTGACTAGTACCGGGCAGAGAGCACTCACTAGTAACATTACGGTACATTCCTACGTTAAGTTTCCTTTGTGTAGACAAGTTAGTAAGCTGCCATTCCTTTACCAGACTGTTATCTTCCAAGAAAAACTATAGCTTGCCATCTCTTCATCTCGGAAATAAAACTAAGTCGCGAATTCCGCTCGAACGCTTCCGCCAGCCGAGGCGAACGCTTCCGCCAGCCGAGGCGAACGCTTCCGCCAGCCGAGGCGAACGCTTACTGTCAAGTACTTGCCAATCAAATATCACTAACATACCCGAAGTAGACGCCAGGTTTAAGGTCCCCAGAAACTAGGACATTTCCCTCACTAGCTCTCCCCCCCCCATAAAGATGTCAAAGAGGACACCCCGGTGAGAACCCACAGCGGCACCACCTGCTCACAAGTGATCGTCAGGACATGTGTGAGCAGGTGGGGCATGTTCCCTACATGCTCCGGTACGACTTGTGGAGGCACATGTCCGAATGTGCCACGCCTGCAGCACATTCGAAGACCTCAGGGGGGACACCAGGCACCCCTGTGACACATTCGAAGACCTCAGGGGGGACACCAGACACCCCTGTGACACATTCGAACATCTGTGAGGGACACGCAAGCACCAGGCAAACTCTGACTACGATACAACAACTCTCAAAATCAACCACAGGTAAATCACAGGAAGTAGCATGCTGAACATATTAGGACTCGCCAAATAATACTTAAATCGGAATGTATATAAGAAAACTTACAAATAAATTAAGATAAAAATACAACAAAAAATAATAAAATAGGGTCTCCGTCCCCTAAATTGTATTTAGCATATTGGTATAATAAGGTGGGTTATATGCTAATTTGATATATAACCGAGTATACTCCAGATCCTCTGAAGTGACATCCACTGTCCCCTTTCACTTCCCTTCTCCCTCCCTCCCCCATCACTCCCTCCCATCTCCCTCTCTCCCCATCTCTTCCTTTCCAATCCTGCCTAATTTACTTTCCAATCCTGATTTACCTAAAATCTTATTTACCACACAAAATGCACAGTAATTTTTGACGAAGTCAACTACAGCGTCAAAATACGAGTGTTTGAAGTGAAATTCAAAGCACCGCAATCCTGACGTTATTTAGAACTAATGAACATGGCATTCGGAAAGCGAGGCGTGTTGCTTAGGTTTAAAATTTTATTTCTTTTTCTTTATTATGCACCCCATACCCATCCCGTGGGCGGTTGTAGAAATGGTTACAGAGGCACATAATGGGTTCAGGAACTGAACTCTCTAGTTCGTTTAGCTAAGCAGGTAACAATCTTTTGAAGCTAGTTACATAATTGTTAATGTTACACACACATGTACATATATATATATACACAATCATTTACACAAATATATATACACGTAAATAATCTTTTTATATCAAAAGTGAGTCAACAAGAGGCTCACAACAGTCACTATACAAGGCACTTTACATCTATGGTGAGTCACACAGTTACTAGTCTTGCTGCACACCCACCCAACTGGGCGGCAGCTT